GGAGGGGCAGGTTAAATCCCCTAAGTGGACCTTCCGGCAGCTTTCAAGTGACCGCTTCAAAGTGAAAGCAGTAGCGCAGTAGTGCAGTAGTTGGTTGGATCTGGAGCTGATGAGTATTGTCGTACTTTTAAGAATGACAAACATGAAGGGACGCAGCGGACGTACTGTACGACGACGATAAGGGGGTTGGGAGACTTTGGGTTTTGTTGTTCCTAATCTTGTTTTTCGCAACCAATGCTTGCAAACAGCAGCATGGTGCCGTACCTGTCGTACCAACCCACGTGGTAGACCCCACACGAACGTTTCGTTTTCGCGATAGTCCCCCCGTCAGCGGCACCCGGAGGCCGCCCGATACCACGACCCCCCCCCCGACACCCCGGAAGTGCGGACGAGGGAGTTGGTTGTTGGGCCGTATGTTGCCCGTATGTATGTCCGTCGCCTGCACCTAGGCCGCGCCGTCGAGGCCTGTTCCCTTGCGCTGTCAACGTTTGCACCCACCTTCATTCAACATCATGTACCACATATGTCGGATGGGGCATATCGATACATCCAGATATGCCCGTCGATATTTATTTCATTCATCCCCGCCCCATTCAAACACCCCACCCTGTACAAAGTTTACCCCCCTCCCCCCTCCCCCCCCCACACACATACATACCTGCACATACACATACACATGCACGCACGCACGTACACGCAAACCCACTCTCTTACAGTCACGCCTAAAACCCGAGTACCCGACACCGATACATGTATGTGTATGTGTGTACGGCACGCGCACGCAGCTGCTCTCCCTTCCCTCCAAGCGCCTGGCTCTACACGCCCCCCACCACCAACAACATCAGTCTGACGGGGGGAAAATAGAGGGGGGCGCAGCGCCATCCCTCCCCCACCCTCTCATCATCGCGCGATCGGACGCCAACGCAGAAGACCTTGAGCAATATGCCGCGGCAGGACTGTACGACAGGTACGGCAGTTCCCATGGACTGATACCGTACGACCTCTGTGGTTTGGGGGCTCTGTGGGGAGATACTCCTTTCATTTCTTCGTGTGGGGGTCGGTCTGGTAGACTGGACTTGTTCCGCTGCAGGGGGGGCCCCCGGTCCTAACTTCGGACATTGAGACAAAGAAGGGAAATAGAGAAAGGAAAGGATGTCGGAGTGTGTGTGTATGTGTGTGTGTTTGTATGTGTGTATGTGTGTGTGCACGGCTGTACGTGTACGTGTATGTGTATGTGTATGTGTGTCTGTCAACATGCATGCGCATCCGGGAACTCCCCTTCCACATTGATCTTGCACACATACACACATACACACATACACACATACACCGATGGCTCTGCCATCCCGTCACCGTCCGGTGCGGTGCGGTGCAAGGACGACACCCTATGCCGTACGACGGTAATAGTCGCCACCCTGGCTACGGCGCGGACAGACGGCCCTGCGGCCCTTAGCTAGGCGCTGACAACCCCCCTCCTACATGAACGTTTCTCCTGCCTGTGCCGTACATACACATACACCCACACGTTTGTGCGCAGTGTGACCCTCCAGCCGCTGGTTCCCCGCCCCCCCGACTACGCCGCCGACCCCCTCTTCGGCGACCCGGGGTTCCGGGGGGATCTGCTGGGGAGGTTGGCGGGGCTGGGGAGGAGGGTGGCGGATGTGTTTGGGGGTCGAGACCAGGACGTGGAGGGTGGGGTGGGGCAGGATGGGCTGCTGTACGTGGTGCAGGCGAGGCCACAGGTACGGCTGGGGCTCTGCAGAGGGTGGGGGGGCTGGGGTGGGGGTGGGGGTGGGGGTAGTGAGGGTGAGAAGGGTTTTATGCGCGTGGGGTGGGTGGGGGTTGGGGTGTTGTGTTTTGCTTCCTAGCAGCCGTAGGGGCCGCACCCACGTTCGCCGGATGAGAGGCGAATGGGGAAATGGAAGGCAGCCTCTCGAAGTCCGGGATGTCCGGGGGGGTGTTCGCATTCGCATGTTCTTCGCTTCCTTCTCGCCCGGAGCTCTTTCCCGGGTCTACCACGGGTCATCATCAGGCTCTCACACAGCCGCCGCATACACACGAGCATGCAGGACTGTCCTGTCCTGTCGTATTGCTGCGCCTGGCGGCTCCTTAGGCACCATCCCTTAGGGCCCCCCCCTCCCCCCGTCATCGCCCCCCTCCTGTTGCCGCCCAACCACTATACACGTATCAGTACCACGCTTTCGCACACCTTCCCTCCGTGCGTCCTTAGAACTCGTACGGCTTCCCATCGCACGTCCTTACTAATCGTGTATGTAGTAGTCTGACTCGCCTGTGCCCGCTTTACTTCTTCGGCAGGTTGAAATCCACAAGAGCGCTCCGTGATGGCCGAGCAGGAGACTAAAATTGCGGAACATTCGATACGCGAGGCAGTTAACGGTCAGGGGTGTTTTTCGTGCTGCACTCTGCCGGAATCGATCATGGAACTTCCAGGGACGAAAATGCCGTGCTTTTGTGTAACATATATAATGGTATATATTATACATGCGGATGAATGCTCGCGTGAGTGAAAAACATTTCGTTACATTCTAGCGGCTCGTACATCCTACGTTGCAGAACCGTCAGAGCAGCTAGAAAGACGGCGGAGCCAGTTGCGAGAGATCAATTGGCGACCCTACTGCTGGTAGCGAAGGCGCGCAGGGCCATTCATTTCGGAACGAGCGCGGGAGAACAAAACCGCGCATACACACACGTACACGCCTTCGCCGACCTGCTTGCTACACAGGGCATCCCAACGATACAATCTAAATTGATCAGTGTAATAGATTCCAAAGCGTTTGCTTGATTGATCTAACAGCAAAAAAAGGGCCATCCGGCACGCCATCAGGCGTTCGTAATCCTAAGAAGCGCGGTGGCGGCGGCGAATGTACACCTCTCAGGCATTGCCACCAATGTACCACCAATGCAGTGGAAGGGCGCTGCTGCTGCGGACCACACGATAGGCTTGGTGGTGCAATGTTGATGATGAACAGCAGCAAGGGAAATGCAAGACCCCGTGCACAGGACTCCGGAGCGCACCCCGGTGCTCAGCTAGCACAGCCCCTGCTGCCCCTGTCTGCGGTCCAGTCTGGGCCAGGTAGGAGGGGGGGGGGAGGTTGAGAGCGAGACTGCCGCCCAACCGGAGGGGTGTGGGGCATCCAGGCGACTGACTTCGAGCCCAAGTTTTGTTGGCGTGTCTGCTCCCCTCTCCCTGGCGGGTTGGTGGCAGAGATCTCGCCGGGAGGGGGTGTACTTCTGGTGCAGATTTGGCGAGGGAAGGGATAGGGGCAGGGGGAGGGGGAGGGAGGGAAATAAAGGAATGGACGTCATGGTGAGGAGTATTGTAAGACTCCCAAGAGATGCTTGTTTGTGTGTGGCTGAAACAGAACTTCGCGCAGCTGTGGACACTGCTTTTGCGTGGATGTACGTACAGCTCTCCACATACTGTACGACGTACGGATACTGGCCAGGTAGACACTCTTGCCGTTGCTCCTGTCGCTGATACCCTAAAAGGGGGACCCACTGCTCGTCAAGGTAAGCACCCCATAGCCCTGGTCAACACCCTTACCAGCTGTACATGTAGTATCCTGGAAAGCAAATCACGGGATCTGCATCCGCCGATCGGTAATTTTTTGTAGTCGTGATATAACAGTGTGACAGCCTTATCACCTGCAACACCGTCCTGTTCAGTGAGCAGGCGCGTGGACGTTCTCGCTGGGGCGCAAGAAGGTTTTATCAACTGCCGCGTAACACGGAAAGGCAGTACCATCCACGTACGATGTTCGACATGCGATTGAAGATGTGGGCCTCAGAAGTTGCGACCTCCTACTGCTTGACATCGACGTCGCCGTTAAAAACTATTGATCACGACAAGCATGGACCACGCCGAGCTGCTAGCTATTCTGTACGACTTAGGATACCGTGATCGGAGCCACCGATGCAAACCCTTGCACACTCACCGCGACGGTTACCCGTGCTGAACTTGGAGGCACACCCGGCCCCCATTCAAGTGGAACGTCGCCTCACATATACGGCGAGACACTCTCACCGATAACCTTCGTAATTAATTATGCATGGGAATTTTTATCGACAATGTTATTATCATGCAGAAAACAAAATGGTCATGTATTCAAATGGCACTATTGGTTTCTGGCAAGGTAGGAATAGCTGTTCTTACCTTGTCCGAAGCCATTAGTGCCGGTTGTGGGGCTGCAAGCTCTGGACTCGCTCAACCTGCAGGAATCGCAGGCAATTTCCTCCATCGGGCTAAGGTCGGTACAACACACAACTGCTGCTAGACTTGGTTCATTTAAATATGATCACCGTCACCGTGAAAAGCTGGTAGGTGAGGCGAAACGTGTTCGCCAAACGAATGCTAGGTTGGAGCAGCGGATGAAATCCTAATGTTGCGACGTCGCAATTGTGCCATTTGCTAACAATCTTTGTCAGTATTGATGAGTACGCAGGGAAACGCAGGAGCAGTTTGCGCACCTTCAGGCGCTGCCCAGGTTCTTCGAAACTACGAGGTTTTGCGCTGGAAGTGTCGCGCGCGTATGACCTCCAATGGTCACCGCACATGAGGGAAGCGTACACGCTGTAATAACTTTTTGCTCAAATATAAAATAAGAATCCTCGAAAATGTATTGATTGATGGTGCCACATTTGACTGCGAATTACAAGTGTGTGATGTTAACGGTTGGACCGGCCGGGTGAACGTCCGGCCGATCAGATCCGGAGAACGTATTTATCGACGGATATGCAGAGCCTTAGACCCCAGCCTTGCGGCGCTTCGCTTCAATTTCCCGCATAAAAGGCGCACATGCATGTTATCACTTGGTTGATTTTTGGGAGCTTACAGTTCGACAGTGACGAAACTGTCAAGTAGTTAAAGTTATCGCGCGTCAACTAGAACTCCCGGGTTCGGCGCACGCACGTGAGGCAATACGTGCATACGCGATGAGGGTGAGAAGTTTTGCAGCAGTCTGTGGAAACGAATTCACACAAACACAGCAGCAAATTGTGATGGATGCATGGGGTGCCGGCAGCGCCTCCTTCGATTAGGGTGATTATGTTTCATCGGTGCGACATCAGCCTACACTCTTATCGGCATGTACAGTACAGATCTAATAAATATATCTACATGTTGATGGCAAATCCATGTCGGGCGTGTGGGGTTAAATGCTTCGGTTTTAGGTTCCTTCTCGCTCCTCGCTAGTTCATTTCAGCGCAAGGAACATGCGTATTAAATGTCCCACTGTGCAAGGCTTCGCCCCTTTGCATAGACCGAGTTTGTTTTCACTTGCTGGTAGCGGAACAGTTCATCAGGAAATCAACCTTTTCCTCCAGCAGCAGCAGGAGCAGTACACACCATCAGCAAATGTAGGGCCCTTTTTGCTTCGCATACTCGGCTGCACTGCATTCGCGGCATTTGGGGCCTTGTATTGCCCTGCATACCCTTATAAAAGGGCACGCACTGGCCTACTGATCAGCCGCAGATGTTTTAGCTCCATCAGCGCGAGGTAATCGTTCGTGCTCCGTTATTATTTATATATACATACTCAGCGGTCATCACACCTGAAGCCCTCGCACTACCGAGGAGTTGTGGCTTTTACATCTTTTCGACAGTGCATCTTGATTACGCTCTCGTTATCATCGGACGCATCAGAACACCGTGCAGAAGGTAATGTGATGTGTGGTGGTATATGGGCTCGCTTCTCAGCACCTCTCCAGAGGTTACGCATGCACGCACACGTACGTTCTTAACCGCTGTTTCGGAAATGTTAGCTGCTCCTACCTGTCGGTAAAAGCAAAGTACGTTGCCTCTCTCTACTTTGATGTCCAACCTATCGCAATTTATACTCTCCTCTGCTAATGCTCCTCTCTGGCCCTCTGATCGCCCTCGCGCGTACGCAAGCGCACAGCTGCTCAGCATGTTTAGCAGCTAGCAGGAAACCACTTGTTTATACGTGTACATAAATTTCAAGCTACACACGCACACGCTGGCCGACGCTTGCCGACAAACGCAGGACGCTGGTTTATTTTGGAACGGAACCTCGGTGCGTCGACATACGCATCCCGAGTTCGCAAGCAAGAGGAGGCCGTGAAACAAGCAGCAGCAGGTTCGCTCGTGTTTGCTTACCTCGGCGTATTCCTGCCGTATGGCTGTGTGTCGGCGTGTGATCGATGGTGCTCGCGTGGGGCCGTGAATCAATGTATTATAGCAAAGAGTATTCAAGCGCAACATCTCGCAAGCAAGGAAACAGATGGCAAAGTGTGCTGATTTGCCCACAGAGCACCAGTGCTGCATGCTATGCCGAACACATTGCGCGATCGAGGACGGCTATGCCGCCGGACGCGTTGCAAACGAAGATACCGAGCGCTGCTGGCGCAAAGTCCACATAGTATTAGTATTAGTATTTATTATAAGGATTAAATTCAGTTTTGATTCGTTAGTATGTATCGCAAAAAACTTCATACATGAACTAACATGTCCAGTTTAAGCAACTGGCAAATTGGCCAAACTACCAGGGCATAGGAGGCGCCGCCCGCCCACATGCATTTATGGGCCGGCTTCCAATAGCCAGTTAGCCTGGAACTTTAAGATGACTGTGAGGTTAAAAGTCGGGCACTCGAGGGTTCACACTTCAGCTAACAGATCACTAGGTATAAGCATATCGCAATGATTGCGTTGCCTTACTCCGTTTGTTTCGGTGCACTGTGAATCCACAACCTTAATTGGAGGACTTTTCAGGCTCAGGCCTATTTCAATAATAATTGGGGTTCCGCAGCGGTTCCTTTCCTCGCGGTTTGACTGTCGATTTGCCTTTAGTTGTCTCATCTGGGTGATTGTCTAATTTGAATATTAGTCTCTAGTGCAGTGCACGGCCAGCTGGCCCGATGACTCTACTCTTCGTGAGCCTGGAGCCCACTGTAACCACCACACACCACACACCTGTAAGGCCTCAGGTGGTAAGTTCGCGAAACCTACAGTTAATTCCATTTAACAATTCAGGATAATAGCCCCTTAGTAGAATGCGATTGCCGCATCAGTTAGCTGCGCAAATGCAACGCATGCAAAGACTGCGGCAGTTATCTCCTACGGCCATTTCAGTCAATGTTCCGTACATGTTAACATCAAATTATGTTATCGATAGCCCGATTAACGATGTCGATAATAATGCTCATCATTCACAGCAGCCAATGCAACACGGCGCAACGTGTGATAAGAAAAAAGTTACGACGGCGGTGAAATAGCACCTCACACCGGGGCCCAGCTACCGCTATCCCCACCCCTGGAGTTTCATGAACTGGTATAATGATCGTCCCGTCACGATCCGACTTCGTGACGAACCGTTACCAACGGAAGACAAACCGTACAGTTAGCGAGTGCGGTACGGTGCGGTTTGTAAATCTTACGCTGCACCGCTTTCCTGATTAAGCTTCTCTGTGCAGGGCAAATGTACCGCAGTTCCGTAGTGCATATCGGGCTCTGTAAAACGCCGAGGCCTCGGAGGAATTACCGCGGTAGAAACTGTGACCATCTACCTACCATTCTACCGCATTCATGGCACCACATCAACCACCCCTGTGCACCCCTGTGCATGTGGCTCCGGGACTATCCCACCTGTTAACACTGCCAACAAAATTCGTTCGTTCCTGCGCCCCGCGTGGTGGCCCGCGAGTAACATAAATAGGGCCTTATGACACGACCGTACGTATCTGCCTCTGAATCACTACTGCTGAATCGTCAGGCCAGGTAGCTCCCCACTGCCATCATGATGACGGCCACACATTGATGACACTTAACACATCACACACATCAAGTGACGTATACGGCCTGTGCCCCAGTAGTAGTAGACTGGTCCTCTTTCTGTTCCTCCAAATCGGCATTAACACCGAATGGCGCAAACGCTCTGCAAACACCACCGTCCCTAGAATGCTGGCGTCACCTACGACTGTCAGTCATTCCTGGCCATCCTTCGGCAGCAGCATGCGATGATGAATGATTACTGCTGATGACGATTTACGGCCGAGCAATGGAAGTTCCGTGATGGAGTTCTGTTGATGGATTAGCTCCCGGTACCGCATCACCTGTCCTTACTTGCTTTGGGTTATCTCAGGCATCGCACCAGTGGTGACCCTCCCCCCATCACGCGCCGCTTTCCTTGCTTGCAGGTTCCAACCAGAATCGCCGTCGCGGACCGCCCCGGTCGCCCCCGCCCCGTTTTAGCGACTCCAGCATGCGGCATCCGCGGTCGCTGTCATTGCTGGTGGTGGCGGTGGTGGTGGTGGTGATGACGAACACTGAGCATTGCGCAGGGCAAAACCCGCCGCCGCCCCAACAGCCCCCCCCTTTGAATCCACCACCGCCGCCAGCATTGTCACCGCCGCCGCCAAGCCTGCCACCACCGCCGCCAGCACTGTCGCCGCCGCCGCCGAGCCTGCCACCACCGCCGCCAACCCTATCACCGCCGCCGCCGGGCTTGCCACCACCGCCGCCAGCCTTGTCACCGCCGCCGCCGAGTCTACCACCACCGCCGCCAGCCTTGTCACCGCCGCCGCCAAGCCTGCCACCACCGCCGCCAGCACTGTCGCCGCCGCCGCCGAGCCTGCCACCACCGCCGCCAGCCTTGTCACCGCCGCCGCCAAGCCTGCCACCACCGCCGCCAGCTCTGTCGCCGCCGCCGCCGAGCTTGCCACCACCGCCGCCAGCCCTATCACCGCCGCCGCCGAGCTTGCCGCCGCCGCCGCCGAGCCTGCCACCGCCGCCGCCAACCCTATCACCGCCGCCGCCAGGCTTGCCACCGCCGCCGCCAGCCTTGTCACCGCCACCGCCAGCCCTGCCACCACCGCCGCCGACCCTTGTCACCGCCGCCGCCAAGCCTGCCACCACCGCCGCCAGCACTGTCGCCGCCGCCGCCGAGCTTGCCACCACCGCCGCCAGCCTTGTCACCGCCGCCGCCAGCCCTGTCACCACCGCCGCCAGCCCTGTCACCACCGCCGCCAGCCCTGTCACCGCCGCCGCCAGCCCTATCACCACCGCCGCCAGCCCTGTCACCACCGCCGCCAGCCTTGTCACCGCCGCCCCCGCCGCCACCGGCCTTGTCACCACCGCCGCCTAGCCCTCTGCCAAATCCGCCACCACCACCCCCGCCTCCACCTCGTCCGGTACGAAGCCCCCCACCTCAAGCCCCCCCA